TGCTTGCCGGCAAGCTAGTCCCCGTTGTAGCGATTCACCCACTTTGAGGTTCACGTGCTAATAGGCATCACATGCCTAACCCGCTACCGGGTGCCGCACAACCAACACAAGATGTGGATCCACAAGCCACGAGCATCCACTAGAGTTGCCTTTCATGATCTCCCACGGGGAAGGCACAAGAACCCCTCACAATCCACCGATCGGACCCAGAGGCAATCACATTCCTTCGCTCAATGATTCTCGCTGCACCAAGCCATCTAGGTGACGGCAACCACCAACAGTAACAAGCGAAATCTACAGCGAAACAGAATTACCAAGTGCCTCTAGAGGTAATCACTCAAAGCAATGCACTTGGATTCTCTCCAATCTCACCAAATGCTAAATCAATTAAGCAAGATGAGTTAGAGAGGAATGGCTAGGCTCACTAGGGTGTATTCTCAAAAGAAATGGCCAAGAGAGTGAGCCCAAGCCGGCCAACTTTTATTTATAGAGCCCCTCCAAAGATAGAGCCATTAGGTTCATCATTGGGCTCCCTATGCAAGGGTGACCAGACGCGCTGCACCTAGTGTCTGGTCCTCGGATTCACGCCATGTGTCACCTCCTTCAAATGCCGAGTGTTGATTCCCAACAGTCACAAACACCAGCGCCAACATTTAAGTTGTGACCATTCATGCCAGACGCTAATCGAACTCACCAGAGCAAAGTCCGATCGCGCGCACGCCCGCACCACTGAACCAGAGACCAGACTCATCGAAGAATGACTGAACACACCCATGAGCAGAGTCTGGTTGAGTCCAGTAAGCATCCAAAGAGGATTTTCACGATCAGACGCGTTCGCTCGACCATGACTGAACTCGACTAGAGTCCGGTCCTCACTTGCACCGCTCCTACGCGCCACATCACAATGACCAGAGCCGGGAACAATGTTCCCCCAGAGTCCGGTTGCGTTCCTCCACTAGGGTTCGGTCATGGACCCGAGGCCGCGCCTTCTCTGTTAGGGTGACCGGAGTCACCACAGCCGGGTCCGGTCACACCAAACTCCTCCTTTTCAACTCCAACTTCTTCACCCTTGCTCCCAAGTGCTAACCACCAAGTGTATCACTATTGTGCACGTGTGTTAGCATTTTCACAAAGCATTTTCAAGGATGTTGCACACACTAGAATCTAAATGCATATGCATTGAGTTAGAACATCTAGTGCCACTTTGATAACCGCATTTCAATACGAGTCTCACCCCTCTTAATAATACGGCTATCTATCCTAAACCCACTCACACTCACTTGGTGTCTTGAGTGACAAAACAAAATGCTCCTATTAAATATGCATTTGCCTTGAGCCGTTTTATTTTTCTCTTTCTTCTTTTCCAAGCTTGAGCACTTGATCATCACCGTGACCATCACTGTCATCATGATCATCATTCATTTGCTCCAATGTTTGGTGCATGCCAACCTATCTCATATTCACTTAGAGCCAAAGGTTATTACCTAGGGTTTCATCAATTAGTCAAAACCAAACTAGAGCTTTCAATAGTGGCGACGGATAGATCCGCCGAGGTAGGGACGTGTGGGGGCAACATGAACATCAGGCGGCGGTGGGTGAGAAGGTAACGTCGGCGGGGGTGGCAACAACTGGTGGGGATGGAGGCGATGTCGGGCGGTGGCAACGGAGCGGGCGAGTGACAGGAGCGAGCAGAGTTTGGGAGTGAGAGAGATGGGAACAGAGAGGTTGGGAGGGGAGGGGATATGATGTAGTGGGGGGTTACGGTGGGACTGTGGGAGACTTGGGTTATTAAATGGGCCTTCTCTTCTTTCTCCCCATTCTATGACCACTGGTCTTCTATTTTTCCTTTTCTTTTAAGTATTTATGCATGTATTAGCCACCGTCTAGAAAAATGCCTTAAAATGCTTAGGCTCGCTTAGGCTCTTGGCGGTGGGTCACCTCCTAGAGAGCACCTAACGCCTAATATGTAACCTTGACCTTAGAAGCTCAAAGTTCAAACAAACAACTAGCTTCTCGGATCAGGTTTCACAAGCTAGGAAGCCCACCAAAGCCAACATTACACAGGAAGTTGTATAGCTCATATTGAGTAGCTTCCCATAGCTTTTGAGTGAAAATTAACCACCTGTCACCGTCAAGTGATCGAATCGTTATTTTCACCTGTAGTTTCTTTTCGCTCGGCAGAGACAAGCGTTTGCGCGAGTCCTCAAGCGTCATCGCCCCTCTGCTCGGAGCAGCGCCGCCTCCTCCTACTCGGAGCACCGCCGATACCCCTCTTGCTCGTAGATCTGGCCGGCGCCTGCCACCCCCTAGTTGGCGATGAAGCTACTGCGGCTATCAATGCCCCAGGCCACCTTCTCGTCATCGTCCTGATCCGTGAACGAGGTGAGCTCACAGAGCCTAGGATTCGTGCTCCGAGCGGGGCTGGAGAGTCGAGGCGGGGGTTGATGATGGTGATGCTTTGCTATAGCTACTGGGTGGTGAAGTTGCTACGGCTGCTGTCGGTGTCCTAAGCTGGATCTTGAACCCGCTGAAGAAGGCGGCAAGGACGGGCCCATTGCCGCGGTTGTAGTGCACTCCTATGGCCGAAGCGGAGGGGGAGGAAACTGGGTTTGCCAAACAACCTTAGCTTTTGCACAAGCCATCTTTCATAAAGCCAACGTCAAGAGCTGAAGCTCAAACAAAAAATTCCACCCCAATTCACCCCAACAAACGTGGACCGAAGATTGAAGTGGACACAAATGCACCCAAATAAGTCCTTGGCCTTACTGTGGTCAACAATAGTACTGCATTGTTCTAAAAAAACAATAGTACTGCACGACGTATTACTCGTTGTAAGGGTTTCCTCTTACAAAAATGTTCTGATACTAAAACTAGCTTGCCACGGATTTTCTTATTTGGTTCAGCATTGAGACACGAAGATGCTCCGCATGGCGTGCTTCTCCTTCAGCATCATCGGTCTTTGCAATGGCACGCTCGAATGCTTGAATTTTCCTCCAACCTTTTCTCTCGTGAAGCATCAGTTGCAGCCCACGCTATGGATCGTCCCAAGTAGTTCCTGTTGAGATAGATCCTCACTGGTAATCACCAATTCACCGTATGTCATTCGGCTTGCTGTTTTTTCAGCAAATCTAAAACTATCGACCTTCAAAAAAAAACTATCCAACACTTTTGTTTTGGTTATCATTGTATCGATTTTCTTTAGTCCCGTGTTTGTTTTGTTTAGCATTAAACCACCAAGAAACACCAACCATCTTTTAATAATTGGTCAAAGCTAGAGGGTTACAAACATAATCATCTTTTGTTGCTTGGGGCTCCTTCCTTTTGTTGGGTAAAATGGATCACAAGGAACCATGCTATATTTGATAAAGGTCACTCAAAAGTTTTTTTGCAAGTTCTTTTTATGGGGACATACTAGCTACAATTTTGGGCTCTATTGCAGCACTTAGATGAAAGCAAGAAAGGAATTTGGATGCTTGCAAACTACTAGAGAGGAGTTCAAAGGTTCAACACAAATTCAGCCCTGATAGGCCCCAAGATGATGCGGCAATGCCTCCCAAGCATTTTCTAGTTGATTACTTTGTAGCTGTTAAGTCATGAGATATTAAATCTATTGCTGCTGTTTGGTCAGTCTGAGATGGACTGAAGCTACAGACCATAATATAGAGTGCACGACTATCATACTGATATATATACTTCTATTTTCAGTTCTATGAAATTCAAAATATTGAAGTTATTTCGAAATATACAGACTATCAATTTATGACTTCTTTCTCCATCTTGCAGGGCTCATCTACATGTTTTGCCTATTTTTTTTTTCGCTGTCATGCTACTGATGCTGGTTACAAGATGGACATGTAGTGGATTTGTGATAGCATAGTTACTGATTATCTTGTGGTTGTAATATGCTGATGTTGCCATTAAATAATACGTACATTATTTTTTATTATCACAAGCAATAGCTGTAGCTCCAGATATCAGCAGATTAATTGTTGCTCTATATGTCACTATGGAAAACAGGTTATCAGATTAGTTAGTGTGTAATCTTCTCTATTGCCAACGTTGGCTACTATTTCTTAAGTATAAAATCATGTTTTTTTTATTGCCATCCTTTTGTAACATGGTCCATGGTCGGTCAAGTTAAACTTTCTGAATTCTTTTTTTTTTCTGATTTTTCTAAATTTTCTTAGTCGACCGGGATCTGTATCCCTATCTCCCCCAAATAACCGTTGAGGAAATTTGCATTGACAGGGCTTTCTACATCCGAGGGGGAGGGGGTATCATATGCATGGAAGAAATCCCCCTTGCGGTTTAAACACATAGGCTTTTTTCTCCCATACATCCAAAGGAGCCCTTACGCTTTTTAAGAATCTGGCTTTTGGAAACTGTGTGGAATCTAAATAGCCTAGTTTTTGCAAGTTTCTTATGACAATTTTTGCTAGATTCTTATACATAGCTTTTGCAAGTTTCTTGTCATCCAAAGAACAATAAATAAAGTCGGATTCTTAAAAACTAGGGGATCCAAACACCCCACTGGCTTTTACTCAGAATCCAAATTTTACAAACTAGGGACAAAACTGGTTTTTAAAATTCCGAAACTAATTCAAATGGGGCCTTAATCGATGGAGCCAAGCTTAGTATTTTGCCGAGGAAGAATTTCATCCTCGGCTGACAGCTGACCCGATGTTCTGATCCAATTAAAGCCCCATTTGGCACGGCTCATCCAAAACGGCTTCACCGGTGAAGCCAAAGCCGGTGAAGCCAGAAAAACTGGCTTTTTCCGGCTTCTAGTTCATTTTAACCCTAGCTTATAAAACGGCTTCACGCTACAGTGGCTCGATTTGCGCAAAATAGATGAAGCCGAAGCCGGCATAAGCCGTGCCAAAGAGGCCCTAAAAAGCACCCCCACCGCCCCCGCCCACAAACTTTCAGGAACGGCCCTGCAACCGATTAATAAAACATTTTGCATTGCCATTTTCTGTGGTCAGTGGGTCGGCGTTAGAATGGCTCACCACCTCCTGCCCTTGCTTGCCGTTCTCGCTGCCGCCGCACTGCTCGTGGCGCCCGTCGCAGGTTACCCGTGGCCAGTGTGCGGCCAGAGCAACTACTTCAAGCCTAACGGCACGTACGAGGCTCATCTCGACTTAGTTGCGGCCAAGCTGCCCAAGAACGCCTCCGCATCCCGGTCCCTCTTCGCCACCACCGTCGTCGGCACCATCCCGGAGCAGCTCTGGGCCATGGGGCTCTGCCGCGGCGACGTCAACGCCACGGCCTGCTTCAGCTGCCTTACTCAAGCCTTCAGAGACCTCCCGAACGACTGCTCCTACGACATGGACGCCACCATCTACTACGACCAATGCATCCTCCATTACTCCGACGTGCTCACCTTCCCTGGCGCCGACACTGGCCCAACGACCGACACGTACACCATCAACTTCAACGCAAATGTTACGTCGGACCCGGCCCAGTTCAAGAGCCTCCTGGCCGCCCTCATCAACGCCACCGTCGCATACGCCGCGAACAACTCCACGCGGCTGTTCGCGACAGGGGAGGCTGACTTCAACCAGGAGTTCCCCAAGGTGTACAGCCTGGCGCAGTGCACGCCGGATCAGACGCCGGCGCACTGTCGGAACTGCCTCGCCGAGGCCGTAGCGGGGCACCAGGGGTCGTTCTATGACTATATCGGAGGCAGGGTGCTTGGCATCAACTGCAGCTACCGGTACGAGATCGTTCCCTTCTTCAATGGACCGGCAATGGTTCGGCTGGCATCACCGAGCTCTGGAGCTCCGGCACCGGCACCGGCACCAGCGCCGGCTTCAGCTCTGCAACCAACTGTTGGGACGCCGCCGGCAGCCGGGAAAGGTGAGTTCATCATTAAAGCGTTTGTTTGACATACATAACCAAAATGTCATGCACCCGCGTGGGAGATAAATGATGAATTTATAATCTTGACAAGTTGGCATGGGTCGAAAATAGTTTTTGTGACATAAAAATTCCATGTCTCCTGTATTTTAGGTGCTTGATTTTTTTTATTGTTCAATGTGCAAATAACATGTAATTTTATTATTGTTTGGCTCTAGAAAAAAAATTTATGAATTATCTCTTATAAGTTGTCCTTTTAATTGTACTAGTTGATTGTCTAAGGTAGTTGTCTCAAAATTGAGGCACCGCAACTCTCTTTTGTTAACTAAAAATCTATACTTACATGTGACCAATCTAAATTGTTGCGGTATATTATTCTAAACTTTATGAAAATTCAACTCAACTCCTTGTTGTAGTTGACTCCTTACTTGTCCGTACTAAATTGTAACATACATTTGACGTGATGTTTGCTCACATAGGGGGAAGAAAGTACGGTATCCCGGTCGTGATCGTTGCAGTTCTACTGCCAAGTATTGCAGCCTTGAACCTTGTTGCCTGCCTCTGTTACTGGAAGCGTCAGCGACCTATTGAACAGGCGAAACAGAAATGTATGCCATGTAATATCAGTCTACAGTTTTGACAACTTGAAAGTTGAAATGCTTGGTGAAATTAACCTGAACAGTCCAATTCTCCTTGAATTGAACAGATCCCATGTATTCAGCTGAAGCTGAGGACACGGAGACGGTGGACTCGATGATGATGGACGTGTCCACCCTGCGGGCCGCGACAGGGGATTTCGACGAGACCAACAAGCTTGGCGAAGGCGGCTTCGGAGCGGTGTACAAGGTACTTGACGGGCCGAAATGTCCTAGTACATACAGCGATGGTGACGAGAATCACAGCGCTTGTTGCTTTGGTTCATCCAGGGTGTTCTCCCCGATGGCGACGAGATAGCGGTGAAACGGTTGTCGAAGAGCTCGACGCAGGGAGTGGAGGAGCTGAAGAACGAGCTCGCGCTGGTGGCCAAGCTGAAGCACAGGAACCTCGTCAGGCTCATCGGCGTCTGCCTGGAGCAGCAGGAGCGGCTGCTGGTCTACGAGTTCGTCCCCAATCGAAGCCTTGACCTCATTCTCTTCGGTACTGATTGGGCCGCGACCGCGGTATGCTGTTTCGTCCACGCATTTTCGCTGCAACACCGCTTCTGATCACTCCCTGCTTCCTTAATTACCATTTCAGACATTGAGAATCACGAACGTGAGCAGCAGCTGGACTGGGAGCAGAGGTACAAGATCATAAACGGCATCGCTCGGGGACTGCAGTACCTCCACGAGGACTCCCAGCTCAAAGTAGTCCACCGTGATCTCAAGGCCAGCAACATCCTGCTGGACGCAGATATGAGCCCCAAAATCTCCGACTTCGGCCTGGCCAGGATCTTCGGCCGAGACCAGACACAGGCCGTCACCAACCGCGTTGTGGGAACCTAGTCAGTACTAGCTAGAACTCAGTGCTAGCTCTCTGTTCAGCTTCGGCTAGCTTATCGATCTCTAGCTAGGCAACTAAGTGATTGCAATTCTACTTCGTCTCTCGTTTCAGTGGGTACATGGCGCCAGAGTACTTGATGCGCGGGAACTACTCCGTGAAGTCGGATGCGTTCAGCTTCGGAGTCATGGTGCTGGAGATCGTCACGGGGAGGAAGAACAACAGTAATAACGACGGCAGTATGACGACCCAGCAGTCTGGAGACCTTTTGACCACCGTAAGTACAGTACTGACATCTACTTATCTATCACTGCTTTTAGGGGATGTTTGATCTGTCGCATTAGGTGTTTGGATACTAATAAAAAATCAAATTACAGAATCCGTAAGTAATACACGAGATGAATTTATTAAATATAATTAATCCATCATTAGCATATGTTTACTGTAGCATCACATTGTCAAATCATGAACTAATTAGGCTTAAAAAATCGTCTCGCAAAACAGTTTCACTCTGTATATTTAGTTTCGTAATTAGTCTATATTTAATACTCCATATATGTGTCAAACATCCGATGGGACAGTGACTCAAATTTAGAAAGAGGAACCAACACCCCCTTATTTGCTACACACATGAAGACACTACATACATATCACCTTGCAGGTATGGGAGCACTGGGAGACCGGGACGGTGGTGGAGTTGGTAGACCCGAACATGGGCGGCAGCAGCATCCCGGAGGCCGATGTGCTGAGGTGCATCCACATAGGGCTGCTGTGCGTCCAGGGAGATCCAACGGCCCGACCGGTGATGTCCTCAGTCGTGGTGATGCTTGGCAGCAATACGGTCACCCTCCAGGCGCCGTCCAAGCCGGCGTTCTGCGCCAGGAACAACTCCAACACGACCGTGTCCACGGCACCGCTACAGGGCTAGCGCACAACTGCCTCAGTTCCATTTTAGCGGCCGTTGGCTCGACCGGAATCGATGGTACATCTGGCCGTAAACCGACAGAGTCCGTCCCAGTTTTCTCGCTTCTTTTACTTTTCCTTTCCTTCTTTTTCTTTTTTTATTTTTTATATTAATCTATATATTTTTCTTCTATGTACTATGAACAAATTATTTAGGCTTAGAAGTTTGTCTAGGACAAATTATGTAAAAGAAAATTCGTTGCATAAGTTGTGTGTAATTATTTTTGGATAAACTTATATATATATATATATATATATATATATATGTATTTATAAGTTATGTTATTCGTGAAATTTTATATAAAATTTGCACTACAAAAGCGGAGCCTGTTATGATAAGTTTGTCCGCTGAACTTTAGTCCATGTCCCATCGGAACTTTAGTCCGCTGCACTACAAGGTTGGGTTACAAAGATCATGTAAAAAAGTTGTTATGATAAGTTATTGACAAGATTTCAATTGAAAAAAGATATGATGGTAAGTTTTCTCTTGCAAAATGCTACGTACAAAAGTTACGAATACAAGTTTGTGTGGATGTAACTTAGGTGGGCAATGGATGAACTAGGTCACTTAAGTACTAATAATCCAAATTCTCACTACATCTTTGATTAAAGATAAACCTATAACATGCACTGCCCATTTGATTTAACATTTGGTCAAGCCCAATTAAATGGGACCAAAATAGCTTGCTTATTATTATCACAGCCACAAGCACCACGTAACAAATTATACATTTGGACGTATTTACTGATAATAATAAAGAGAAAAGTAATTCTTCTATCTGTCTCTTTTTTACTTCTCACAATGCCTTTGTGTCTCTCATTGTCTTGTCTAGGACCCAGACTCCGTGACCATGCTCATACGTGTTAAAACCGTATGAGTTTGTGCGTCCTACGATAGTACGAAGTTCGATTCCAATCCGTATTTGAACAAATCACACAACAATTACATAAATTTTTGAGCCACAGGTCGTTCAAGTGACCATATAACAAAGATATATGTTCTATCACTGCACAAGGGAGCATGTTTCCTAGTGGTGACTAAAGTTTATGGAGGCTTTTAGAATTGCTCTTAAAAGATCCTTTCTCTAAATAGATACTTTAAACCATCACATCTATAAATCAATTTTAAGAAAGGGACACCATGTCGAGGAACTTAATAGGTACTCTATCAGTTTCAAAATGTAAGTTGTTCTAACTTTTTTTAGACACATAGTTTTTTGTTATACACATAACTAAAATTTAGACCATAGGATCCAAACAAGCCTATAATTTTTTTAGAAAATATTTATATATATTATATCTGAATATATATTAAAATATATATATATATATATATTAAAATGACTCATTTTAGAATGGAGAGAGTAGCTTTGTAAATAAAAGAACTCGCAAGGTAATTTTTTAGACGTGATCATCCGAGTATAATTTCAGCATTCTTTATTTCAAGCATGGCGCTACGGCCTTGTATTAGCAAACTCAAGCTCAACTAAATCCCAAGCTATCATAGCGTTTATAGAGATTGGAAGTGAGTATGTCCACACATGAGATTGGCCGACATCCAACTCCTACTTAGCTTATCAAGCTCGTGCACAGACGAGTTACACGCCTGAGGTACGTCCAAAATATGTAAACAAACAAATCAATCATGCAGCAACTCCCACTCGGAGCCAGATCCCTTGATGCCGTTCTAATGGCCTCCTTTCTCCAGTATTACACGTGAAATGTCGTGCTAGTCAGCTACTTCAAGAGCTTTCAAGCACGCCAACGCCTCCGCCATCAGCATACTGACAGGACCAAAATTCAGCTTTTAGCCTGCCTTGAAAGTGACAGGTCAGATCTTACTACCTTCGATGATTTCCGGGCGTCTTCCTGCCCAAGATATTTGCAGCGAACAAGTGGTTCTCTCCCTCGATGGAAATGTCGTTTTGCCGGCCAAACTTTGCCTTCATACGTGGGACGCCGTGACACCATCTCTGATACATTCCACAAGACAAAGCCGCCCAAACGTCGCGCGCACGGCCGGGATAACCCAATCATTAGACATCGTCATCTAGACCAACACACCACGATTCTCCCGTTCCTTTGTGTTTACTCCGTGTTTAAGCGTATATACAAACTCTAGCATAGTGCGGAATCAAACTAATTTAAATTTGAATAAGTTTATAAAAAATATTAATATTTATGATACCAAATAAATATTATATATATTTATTGTGTACTATAAACCTTAATATTTTTTTATAAACTTGATTAAACTTCACTAGGAATAAAAAAAGAATTTGAGGTCTTTTGGCATGGCTCCGGCTCCGGTTTCTGGTGCCTTTTGCCATGGAGCCGTGACAAACGGCAATCTAAGAGTCTGTTTAGTTGGGTTTTTTTTTAGCTTTGGGTCCATGCTACAGTATCAAAGGAGTTAGAGCTAGAGGAGCCACATAAAACGTGACTTCTTTAGTATCGGTGTTTCGAGTAAACACCAACTAGTAAATTTGTATTATTACGTGTTAGGTCCGGATGGTGTGCTAAAAAGACACAAGGTTTATACTGGTTCGGGCTGAATGTCCCTACGTCCAGTTTGTAAGGACGGCGTAGTGACTGAACGTCCATCATTGTAGAGGACGTGAGTGTCCTCTTGCACCGTAGTGGTTGTCGTATGATTCCGTCAGGATCCGCGCCCGAGGGCCCGTGGCGGCGCCCACAACACTGTAAAATAAATGTCGGCACCTATAACACTGTTCGGGCTCTGACATGTCCAAAAGGGCCTTAAAGCGTCCGTCTTGTCATATCCTGACGGTACTTTTCTACAGGCGTGCAGGGTGTGGTCCTTGGTATTGCGGTTGACTTGAGTGTCCTGCCTTATCTGCGAGCATAGTTATGAAGGAGTAGCGTGAAGACGTCGACGAGGCGGAGTCTGCCCCAAGACATTGGGCGAGGCAGAGCCAGCCTCCGAACATCGAGCAAGGCGGAGTCTGCCCCCGGACGTCGGGCGAGGCGGAGTCTGCCCTCAGACGTCGGGCGGGGCGGAGCCAGCCCCCAGACGTCGGGCGAGGCGGAGTCGGCCCGCAGACGTCGGGCGAGGCGGAGCCAGCCCTCAGACATAGGGCGAGGCGGAGTCTGTCCCTAGACGTCCGGCGAGGCGGAGCCAACCCTCGGACGTCGGGCAAGGTGGAGTCTGCTCTCAGATGTCGAGCGAGGCGGAGTCTGCCCTCAGTTGTTGGGCGAGACGGAGTCAACCCTCAGACGTCGGGCGAGGCGGAGCCAGCCCCCGAACGTCGGGCAAGGCGGAGTCTGCCTTTGGTCGTTAGGCAAGAGGTGTAGTCGCGCTCTTGTCTGTTCGGAAGCATCAATGTTTGATGATTATTAGCTCTTTCTCTTTGGGTACCCAATATTGGGTCCCCGACATTTAGCCTCCTAGTTCATTTTGTGAGGAGAGAAAAAACAATCTCATGTGAACACTGCGACTACAGCAAGAGGTGCCGGAGCCGCAAGAAGATGTGCCAAATAGCCTTAAAAATGACCCTTTGCAAAGAGTTCAGAGAGCCAAAACCGATTTTGTACCGAAGAACTAGAGCCGAAAACATGGCTTCTTCCAGACCTTTACAAACTTAACTTAAATTATTATAAAACTATCACCGAAGACATTTTTGCTTAACGATTTTTCTCAAAACGGCTTCAAATAAAAAACAAGAGTCGATAGGAGGCGCCAAAGTTCTACCAAACTTTTTTAGGCGCTAGTGTTTGGATGTAGGGGTTAAAGTTTAAGAGGTGTCACATCGGATGTCATATGGGTGTCGCATGGGGTGTTTGGATACTAATAAAAAAACAATTTACAGAATTCGTCAGTAATCCACGAGATGAATTTATTAAGTCTAATTAATCCGTCATTATCACATGTTACTGTAGCACCACATCGTCAAATCATGGACTAATTAGGATTAAAAAATCATCTCATAAATTAATCTTAATCTGTGCATTTAGTTTTATAAATAGTCTATATTTAATACTTCATGTATATGTTTAAACATTCGATGGAACATGGACTAAAAGTTTAAGAGTTTAGAAGGTCCAGACGGAGATAGTACTATTTTGTGTTCAGCGTTCTTGGTTGCGAGTTGCCACCTTCCTCACGCCTCACTCGCACAAGCCAACGACGACTCGACCCCAAAACCATGTTTGTTCCTACGTTTTCTCAAAAAATTTAAATCATGTGGACCAAAAAGGAATCTACATGAACCGACAGTATTCATATTGATAAAAAAAAATCTAATTTCAAAAGCTTTTTTTTTTGCTCGACATCACATGCACATGCCAACGACGACTTTACTCCAAAACCATGTTTGTTCCTACGTTTCTCTTAGTCATGTTGAAGAAAAAAGGAGTCTACATCAAGCGACCACAGAGAGGGATTAGCAGTGATGCCTAGTATTATCCATACGTGGATCGAATGGCAGTTGTTGGCCTAACTTGAACGTGTCAGTTCGGACACTTGCATGCAAATTTTTGGCCTAACTGAAAAGTGTTTGGTCAAAAACTATGCTTTATGTTAAAGGGGTTTTTGTCTAGTGGTGCGGCAGTTTAGTTAGATGCTACCCTTAAGGGTTCAAATCATCATAGTCACACTTAATTTTTTGGATTTTTTTATAGAAAAAGTAGGATACATGTTCAATGGTACTGTGCCTAATCTCTTTCTTTGCGTGTGACTGTAGAGTATGCGTCCTATTGTACCCACATTATAATTTTTTTTCGAGTAGTCAAACAATTTAAACTTTAACTAAAGTTACATAAAAAAATACTTAATTATTTATGATAAAAAAGGACTGTTAAATTAATTATGAAATATATTTTATAGAAATTTTTATTAGAGACATAATTATTTATATTATTTACTATAAATTTGGTCAAACTTAAATTAGTTTGACTAGTATAATTCCTATAATTGCTATAGTTATAATTTTTTTTTGAACGGAGGGAGTTCTCGTCTGTACTCCCTTCAGGTTGGTAAAAGAAATCGTTTTGGATAGCAACACGGTCTCTAAAGCATAATTTTGACTTTTTATTTTTATAAAAAATATTTATTGAAAAATGATATATGTATATTTTTATGAAAGTATTTTTCAAGACAAATGTATTCATGTGGTTTTTATATTTTCAAACTCAACAACTTAAAAGTCATTCATGATTTATATTCCTAATATTTGATCTAAATCTTATCCAAAACGATTTCTTTTATCGGGAGTACGACATTTCGCTTGATGTTTAATTTGCAGGGAACAAGTGGTTCTCTCTCGATGGAAATGTCGTGTTGCCTGCCATATACGACATTCCGCTTGATGTTTAATTTGCATGAACAAGTGGTTCTCTCTCGATGGAAATGCCATGTTGCCTGCCAAACTTCGCCGTCCATATCGCTTGGCATGGTCCACGCCGTGACAGCCTGTGTATGTGTCTTCATCGGGCACTCCACGCCGTGACAGTCTTATTTCCACGAGACGTCGCACAAGTTGCACGGTCGGGACGGGATCACGCGGATCGGTAAAAAGTCGTTAGACCAACTCCTTTAATGCACAAGTTGCAGACAGGCCAACGACGGCTTGACTCCAAAGCCTTGTTTTCTTCCTGCATTTTTTCCCCAAAACAGTCAACTCTTGTGGAAGAAAAAAGGAATATAACTCCATTGTCTCTTGTAATTTTTGTTCCATACTCCTATACTCCTGTGTATGGATTAGGCAACGGTCTCGATCTCGTACTTCCAGAGAAAAATAACTCCTTTAATGCACAGTTGCAGACAAGCCAACGACGACTTGACTCCAAAGCATTGATTTCTTCCTACATTTTCCCCCAAAACAGTCAACTCTTGTGGAAGAAAAAAGGAATATAACTCCATTGTCTCTTGTAATTTTTGTTCCATACTCCTATACTCCTGTGTATGGATTAGGCAACGGTCTCGATCTCGTACTTCCAGAGAAAAATAACTCCTTTAATGCACAGTTGCAGACAAGCCAACGACGACTTGACTCCAAAGCATTGATTTCTTCCTACATTTTCCCCCAAAACAGTCAACTCTTGTGGAAGAAAAACGGAATATCACTCCATTGTCCTGTAACTTTTGTTCCATGTACTCCTGTATGGATTAGGCAACGGTCTCGATCTTGTACTTCCAGAGAAAAATGGTCTTACAAACGGTTTCATCAAAATACAATGGAACACCGCCTACCAAATGACTACCGATTGAACATCTGGTAAGTTTGAAAGACCTAGATAATCACTTTGATAATTCATAGATCCAATCACACTTCGAATAAACCACTTGAAGCCTCGGAGGAGACCGAGATGACTAGAGACGAACGAGCATATAGGGGCCTAGTCATGGACTCAGTGACAAGAAGGATTGGTCATTGGATGCTGTTGGCATGTTGTGTTGCATTAGTTGTCGTCATTTAAGTGTTAGCTAATAATGCAAGGAATACGCAGATTTTTAACATGGAAAATACTTACAGGAAAAGACCATGAGCGCCAACCGACGATTTACACTATATGATGAGAGTTTATAAAAAAACGAGCACCAACCGGTGATCTCCACTATATGATGAGAGTTTACAAAAAAAAAACTGCAAGGAAGACAATCGTCAACTCTTTCCGCACGACTCACAAGATGTATATATAGGGCGAACGAACTGCAGTCCAATATAAAAACAAATCCACTAATACAACCCAGACCGCAGGTCCTCCAGGCATCCCGCAAGACTCACGTTAGAATTCGGATTATACTCCAACACCAATAATGAATCACCATTGGCGGATCTACTCTCGGCACTCGCACAAGACATTAGCAAAATGAGATGAGGAGTTTGGCAATCTCTAATCACGATGGCGTAGGGTGGCAAGGTGCAACTAGTGGCGAAGACAACAGGGACGGAGGGATTTATCGTGGTAGTAGAATGCTGGCACATGAATGTCGGTGTGGCCTTTTTGTTCGTTTATGCTTCGTTGTAAGCTGGTATCCCCAACAGGATCGTGATCGGGGTCATGTTAAGCTTTCTAATAAAGCTAGGCTAGGCCTTTGATCTAAAAAACTTTACATTTTTTAATGGTCTAGTTAAACTATTATGTAATTGAAGGGTAAATTACCCCTCTATGGACACACCCCACCCCCATAGGTGCAAGTGCAACCACAGAAGCAGGGGCGGATGTGTAAGCCTAGGGCCACTTGGACCCTAGGCATCCAAAACTTCTATCCTTCTCAGCTAGATATGGTGTAGCTAGGCTAGGCCTTAGGCAGTCGCACCAGGTCGACCACCCACTGGAGCTGGTCCTGACAAAGACCTGGATGTATGTTCATGATCTAAAATTTTCCACTAGACATTAAGATGGCTTCTTCAGAAGCTGGTTAAAAAAATCCTAACAAACACAATTTATAGTTCACTCTTTCCTTCTCGGTCAATAATTTTAACCAAGTTCATAGAAAATAATTTCTTTCTAGTTAGCGAGAAGAAAATTAGAGAACACTACGTTGGAGTTGTTCGCTTCTCGTGGATGGAAAATTAATAATAGACTCTGTCATGCACAATTTTTGCATTTCTTGTTTCCTGACTCAGCAACAATATTGCTGAAACTATGAAATAATGTAAACGCTGTGTGTAGTAATGCAGAAGTGGGAAGTCCCTTTCATTTTCTAAAAAAAATCTATAAATATAAATAGATGCATTGCTAAAACATATTTTCTGAAGAATTTAATGATACTAATTTGACGGTTGAATATGTCAGTGAATAAATTTGGCCGAATTTAGAAAAAGTTTAACTTTAGACAAGGTCTGTGTGTAAACTATGATTTGGATGGAAATAATTATATATATAGATTATATTAGGGTCTTGATAGGAAATTAAGCACAAGCATCTTTTCTATCAGTTGGGGCACGAAATGAAATATTGAACATGGAGTTACAGTCTAACAAAAACCCAGCCAAATTCTTTCCGTCAGGCTTGTTTGGCTGCATTGTGATCCAGCCCAGTCACCCGAATCCAGAGGTTGGTGTATTGGAGTTGATCGGAGTGCAGCCAGATAAACCCTTGAATGGGTCAGCATTGGTGTGTCGGACGATGACTAATCTACCCTCGTCTACATAAACTGCTTCGAATCTTTTTCGTTCTATCACGAACAATGGCTCATCACGTTCTCTCTCTACCTCTAGCCACCATCCTCGCGGTGGCACTACTCCTAGCCCGCCGCGCTGCGGGTTACCCGTGGTATGTGTGCGGCTCAAGCAGCAACTTCGCGGCTAACAGCACATACCAGGATCATCTCGACTTCGTCACGGCCACCCTTCCCAAGAACGCCTCCTCGTCCCCCGACCTCTTCGCCACCGCCGTCGTCGGAACCATCCCGGAGCAGCTCTGGGCCATGGGGCTCTGCCGCGGCGACGTCAACGCCTCGACATGCTTCGAGTGCCTGACCCAGGGCTTCCAAGTGGTACCCAACGATTGCCCCTACGATAAGGGCGCTAGCATCTACTACGACCCTTGTATGGTGCACTACTCCGACGTCCACACTCTACCCAACGACGACACTGGCCCGATGATGAACACTTACGTCGTAACCAACGACGGAAACGTCACCTCGGCGGACGCGGCCCGGTTCAAGAGCCTCCTGGCCGACCTCATCAACGCCACCGTCGAATACGCCGCGAACAGCTCCCGGCGGTTCGCAACCGGGGAGGCCGACTTCAACCAGGAGACGATCCCCAAGGTGTACAGCGTGGCTCAGTGCACGCCGGACCAGACACCGGCGCAGTGCCACAAGTGCCTCGATAGGATGGTAGAGGCTACCCTGGAGGCGTTCAATGGCAGTATCGGAGGCAGGGTGCTTGGGGTTGATTGCACCTACCGGTACGAGACCGCGCCCTTCTACAACGGACGGGCGATGGTGCGGGTGGCACCACCAACAAGCTCTAGAGCGCCGGCGCCGGCGCCGGCTCTGCAGCCGACGGCCGCCGGAGGAGGTGAGTGCGTCATGAAAGCCATCCTTTGGTCTTTTTGTTTGACACATAACACACGCCCAAACACTTTGACTGAGTTAAGATATTATTCGTGCTTGTTGTGCGACCGCTTGACCGTAACGTAAACTTTTTAAGTGCACGCGTTCGAGTTTAATGGTCGAGTAGCTTGAAAAGTAGGCATTAATATTGTCCAGCTACTTTTGGCGAAAAATCTAAAAGGGGTTTGGGATGTTTGGGATGATTAACAATTTGAATGTTGACTCCATGTTATCTAGGATATTAATGTTAGTAGAGGATGAACCATAGACGTACTACTCCCTTTGTTTCCAAATTATACTTCACTTTAAGTTTGTCTTAGGTCAAAAAATTTTCCTTTGACTAGGTTTTAGAAAAGAGTACATTAATATCTATCTATAGGTTTAAATAAATACACTTTCAAAACATATTTCATTGATAGTTTGAAGAAACTAATTTGACATCGTTAGGGCCCCCTTTGAATGCAAAAATCTTTCCTATTTTGTGTCATTTTTTCTGTGGAAATAAACTGATTCTTATGAAATTTCTACATTTGAAAGGGCCTAGATGTTGAGAAATTTGACTAAGGAGAAAGCAAGAGTGGACTATAATTTGGAATAGAGGCAACAAATTAGCAAGAAACCAGTTTTAAATCTTCCGCTATAGCTGCCGCTATCTCTGGATATAGATGTTTGTAGGGGGTAAGCTATTTGTTTCTATGTACAATTTAACCGATATTAGCAGCCATAGCCCGATTTAGCAAGCTATTACTACCTCCATTCCATTTATCTGGCACACACGCATATCAAGATTCAAACTTTAAAAAATTTAACCAATAATTAGGCTAATAATTTTTAATTATTATAATACAAACTTTATATGATTAGATTTGTCAAAAATTATACTATCCAATGATTATAAGTTTATAAGTATAAATAATATAATATAAAGCAAATGAATGGTCAAAGTGTAATCTAGAAGACCGTGTCATTCTAACTTGCACCAGATAAAATGGAATGGAGGGAGTAGCTGTTTGAGGAGGGAGATCGCTAAGGCCTGGTTTAGTTCCTAAAAATTTTCACCCCAAACTATCACATCGAATCTTGCGGCACATGCATGGAGTATTAAATATAGACGAAAAAAAACTAATTGCACAGTTTGGTTAGAAATCACGAGACGAATGTTTTAAGACTAATTAGTCCATGATTAGCCATAAGTGCTACAGTACTAACATGCGCTAATGATGGATTAATTAGGCTTAATAAATTTGTCTCGCAGTTTCCAGGCGAGCTATGTAATTAGTTTTTTTATTAGTATCCGAAAACCCCTTCCGACATCCCAAAAACATCCGATGTGATATCAAAAGATTTCATTTCGCGAACTAAACACCCTAAGTGCCTTAGCCCGCTGTCTAGAACACTAAAAAAAACTTTTGGGGCGGGTTCCCCACATGTCTTTACTTAAAATTTTTTGTATGTGCAAGGATACAAAAGCCGCCATACATATACTCCATCCGTCCCCTTTTAAGCGTTGTTCTCACATATTGAGGTATCAAACGTATTTAAGATTGAATATATACAGGAGATAACTGATATTTATGGTGCGTAATACGTATCCCATAGATTAATCATTGAACATATTTTTATAATACACTTATTTGAAGATACAAATGTTACTAATATTTTCTATAAATTTAGTCAAATTTAAGAAAGTTTGACCTGAACAAAAATCTAGATGACACTTAAAAAAGGAACGGAGAGAGTAGCAACTAGCGAATGCATTTTTTTTGTTCTTTGGAAAGCTAGTCATGCTTTGGAAGCGCCTATATTATATATAGAACACCTGAGTTTTGGTTTATTTATTTCCATGAACCAACAAATGGAGCTAAATGCCATTCTACATTTCCCCTTGAAATTTCCTTCCAAGAAAGTGCCATTTCTGATGATATCTAAGCTGTGACACACATTTGCCGCCGTGATGTTTGCTAACACATTTGCTAGTTCACAGGGGGACGAAAGCACCGTGTGCCTTGGGTGGTTCTTGCAGTTGTGCTACCAACTCTAGCCGCCTTGAACCTTGTCGCCTGCCTCTGTTTGCGGAGGCGGCGGCGGCTACTAATTGGACAGGCCAAACACCAAAGTATGCTGCTTCAACATTATCTGTTTGCACAGCGTTAAACACGCTTCGAAGGATATGAAAAAAAATGACTCATCCAATCCATACTTGAACAGAGCCCATGTATTACACTGAAGCGGAGGACACCGAAATGGTGGACTCCATGATGATGGACGTCTCCACCCTACGGGCCGCCACAGGGGATTTCGATGAGAGCAACAAGCTCGGCGAAGGCGGCTTTGGTGCTGTGTACAAGGTAGCACTGACAAACACGTACCATATGATTCTGAATTGAATTGAAAAGAAAAAAAGAACATGAAACATTGCACCTAATGTATGTTTGCTTTCGAGTTTCGACACGTTTAGGGTGTCCTCCCGGACGGCGACGAGATAGCGGTGAAACGGCTGTCGAAGAGCTCGACGCAGGGAGTGGAGGAGCTGAAGAACGAGCTCGCGTTGGTCGCCAAGCTGAAGCACAGGAACCTCGTCAGGCTCATCGGCGTGTGCCTGGAGCAGCAAGAACGGCTGCTCGTGTACGAGTTCGTCCCCAACCGGAGTCTCGACCTGATACTCTTCGGTACTGATAAACGTGAGCAGCAGCTTAGCTGGGGGCAGAGGTACAAGATCATAAACGGCATCGCTCGGGGATTGCAGTACCTCCACGAGGACTCCCAGCTCAAAGTGGTGCACCGTGATCTCAAGGCCAGCAACATCCTGCTCGACGAGAACATGAACCCCAAGATCTCAGACTTCGGCCTGGCCAGGATCTTTGGCCAAGACCAGACGCAGGCCGTCACCAGCCGCGTCATCGGCACCTAGTCAGTACTGAAAAACACAACAGCTCCATTAACTGCTTCAAGTTCAGTATTCATCTGAATAACTGCATGAGCTTTTGCTTTGATTTCCTCGTTTATTTCAGTGGGTACATGGCACCCGAGTACATGATGCGGGGGACCTACTCCGTGAAGTCGGACGCGTTTAGCTTCGGTGTCATGCTGCTGGAAATCGTAACGGGTCGGAAGAACAATAACGACGGCTGTAATCTCTTGACCACAGTAAGTACAATATCTACACCGAAGAATACAGCTCCGGTCCGTAAGTTGCATTGCAGCTTGCTGGCTCATCACGCTACAAATCCATCCATGAGCAGGTATGGATGCACTGGGAGGCCGGGACGGTGGCGGAGTTGGTCGAACCGAGCATGGGCGGCAGTTTCCCGGAGGGCGACGTGCTGAGGTGCGTCCACATCGGCCTGCTGTGCGTCCAGGCAGACCCTGCGGCCCGGCCGGTAATGTCGTCGGTCGTGATGATGCTCGGCAGCGACACGGTCACCCTCCAGGCTCCATCCAAGCCGGGATTCTTCGCCAGGAACAACAACGCCAACACAGCCGTGTCGACAGTGTCATTGAGTGGTTAGCCTGGCCATGGGAGTCCACAATTGGGAACATATATGTACCGTTACCCTGTTACCAAAATGTAAGATATGAACTAATAAGCCGCGTAAGCTTTGATTCAACCTGAAATTTTGCATACACCTACTAGAAAATGTGCGAACACATAGTTGATACGTGCCCATGTATAAGTGATGAGTGATTAAGAGTTGATCAGAGCTTTAGTTAAGTGTGCGTGAGACTAACCATGGCGTGAGATCTGTATGCAATGTCTCTTGGCTTGCGATGTGCAGGTGACAAGGTCAACGGAGGAGTCCGTGCGCGATGGACCGGGAGCGGTGAAGGGCTGACGCGAAGGCTTGGACCAGAGGGACCAAGGGCCGGAGAATGGACCGTGGACGGCTAAGCACTTGGACACGTACGTCAACAAGCGAGTGTACATGCAAAGATGGCAACGGAGATGGTGTTGACCTAAGTCAACACGACGATCGGACCAAGTCAAGGCCAGTGCGCAAGCACTTGATGATCAGACGGTCGAGGACGAGTGGGACATGCGTCAACATCATGAAGAAGACATAGCGTCTACTCGATTCCAAGTGGGTTTGGCGGTTTGGGCCTCAAAACCGCGAGCGGCAAGTTTGCTGGATTTGGGCCTCAAAACCCTGGATAGGATCACGGGACGGCACATGGCGTCATCGGGGAGCTTGCATTGAGACGAAGCAACTTCATGAAGGACCTGGCCGTCCGATGCATGGAATCCATTATGGACCATTTTGCCCCTATGGCTAAGTGGTTCGAGGCAAATACCTAGAGACAGTCTTGAAATATGTAATAGCCCTATAAATACTTTAATCCTTCGCCTGTGGCGAACCAAGAAAAAAACTGAAAGAATCAACACCAACAGAACGGAACAGGCGACGGCAACAGAAATAATTCCTGCTCTACTCCTTTTTGTCCCTGCATACATCAAATTAAACATGTACAACATTGAACTTGCTTATATAATTGTGAAGAATTCAGGAGTAGATTTATTGGTGGTGATTTTGACAACATTTAAAAATTGCTGCGGTTGCTACTTAGCTGCACAGTAAAAGTGATGATTGAAAGAAATGTTATGTCTTCACAGATCAACATGAATTTGAGTGCCCTACTCTCCTACCTGCTCCGGACTCCGAAATAGGAGGCGCGAGCGTGCCCTGAGTTGGTGGCTCTGGTGGCGCGGGGAGCTGCAGCATCGCCTGGCCCTCGTAGACCGGCGACACGCTGTACCGAAGCTGGCACCACACCAGTAAGGCGTTGTTCACCGGGGGCCGCCGGCTTATTAGGAACTCGTTCGTCGTCGTTACTAAAAGGCGCTCGAGGCAGCCCCGGCACTGCCCTGGTGTCAGATCCGGCGTGCACTGCGCTAGCCCGTAGATCTTGGGGTCGAAGTCCATCTCCGCCGTGGCGAAGTACTTCCTCGTCGAATTGCTCGCCACCGCCGCGCGGTCGACCAAGGCGCTCAAGATCCCGGTGACGGCGGCGCTGAACCATGCATCCGGGGCGTTGACGTTCCCCAGGACCATGTCGATCACAGGACTTGTTGCAGTAACAAATTCGTAAGTCTGTAAGGCACACGTACCTACAAAAATGCAAGCTTGGGGTTCGTAGTCCATATATATACTTACGTCAATTCCGAGACGAGCCACTGGTCCTGTCTCAGAAAGTCGACGAACCGGGAGCTGGCGAAGCCGAGGACGCAGGCGTCGCGGTAGACGGTGGCGCCCGTGTCCAGCGGGCAGACCCGCTGCGCGTCCCGGAATGCCTCCGCGACGCAGGCGGCGCAAGCGGAGGCGTTGATGATGTCGCCGCGGCACGCGCTGGTTCACGTGGTGGAACGTGCCGTTGGCCGCGTAGTGATAGCCAACGTCACAGAAATGTGGCAGGGTCGTCGCCGCGGACGGTGGGGGCACCGCGGCGATGCAAACGACGACGGCGGCGGCGAGGGTGACATAGCGACTGCCAGGTAGCGTCGTCCCCTGCACCTGCAGTAGAGGAGGCCAGTACTTTTGCTTTGCCATGAAACCACCTCGGTAAGGGGACGACGACACGCCTTTTGCCATTTCGTCATAGTTCGTGTCCAGTGGTGGACTTCAGGACTTGGACGAGTCAAAAATGCTCCGCGCGCGGATGTGACTTGGACGACGACGCGGGTCGCGGGCACGTTCGATCTTGCGGGCTTGGACGAAGATTAGACCCTCGGCACCCACCAGGCAGTGCCCACAGCGTCTACGTTGAACCATGCGTGGAACAAGAGAAAAAAATGGCAGTAACTTGCATATCGCCAATGGATAGCCCAATTCCAGTTTGGCTCGCAACCAACGAAATCGGCCGTCCAATATGAGGTGGGCCATCTGCTCGAAACAAGCGCATGCAGTTCTGTAGGGCTCATTTTTCTTTTTTTTTTTAATCCTTTCGGCATTGTGTTCGCGAACCATCCGCTCGCGTATTAGCGTATTAATTATTGTTCTTTTTTGCTTTTCTATTTTTTCTTTTTTATTTTATATTTATATTTAGTTTAGTGTTTTTTATAGTTGTCTATCAATTTTTGTTGCCTATATTATAAACATATTTTTTATATTTACAAGTTTGTCTAGAATAAGTTACATAAAAAATGTTAGATAACAAAAGCTTATGCGTACAAGTTATGTTATTTGTGAAATTTATTATATTTAAAAACATATTGAAAAAGTTATTATAAAATTGTGGTGACAAGTTTTGTTTCGGTAGAATGTATAGAGTTTATGCGTATAATTTTGTAGCTTTTTATGAAACTAAGCCGATAAGTTATGTTTTTGCAAAAATATTATATATAAAAGTTCTGTGTATAACTTTGCAACTTTTTAAGAAAATATGGTGATAAGTTTTGTCTGCATAAAGTTATACATAAAAGTTATTTGTATAACTTAGTACTTTTTTTTTGCGAAATGATCATAGATCAGTTGGTTGGGTTCTTTGTGATGGAACCTGCCTACCCGGTTTTAAGTCCTCAACTTGGCACGGGTGTTTGCATTTTCCTGGATTTATTCTAGGATTTAACGGCGCTATGCTTTCAGTGGTAGACAACGTCCCGTCGACAGCGAGACGCCTGTGGTGACTTCGTGAATTTCAAGATATGCCGGCTCGGTCCTTCGGGGGTGCACATTAGGGTAGGATTTGCATACATGTGTTCATAGGGATGAATATGCGTGCGTGTTGTGGGCGTCTACGTTGTACCGTGTAATTCTCAAAACTTAGTAATTTTTCAAAAAAAAGTTATGGAAATAATTTTTTCAACAAAGAAAATTCGCGGGGCCTATGGAATTGTGGTTCACTGAATTAGGCATATAACTTTGTAATTTTCCTAAAAAAATTGTGATTTTTTTTTAAAAAAAGGAAAGTCAGGTGTTCGTGGGATTGACCGCTGATTCTAGACCAGCGTTCGTCCGTTAATTAGCTGGGTCGCACGAATAGGCTGTAGTGTATACCCGGCCTTCCAGTCCACCAAGCACGATGTCATATCAGCGTTCGTATAGTTGTGTTGTGGACCAGGGCCGGGCCTAGGGAGTGCGGCCAGTGCGACGGAACTGGGCCTCCAATTTGTAAGGGCCCATATATAATTTCAAGACTTTATCCAATTATTAGACACACAATTCTTAGTCCAAACCTTCTTTCTCTGTCGAATCCCCGAATGTCCACCATCCGCACGGTCTCTCCGTATTCGCTTCGATTGCAACTCAGTGACTCCTATATTTGTTCATCTGCCCGATTATCCGAACGGCCTCGTTATCGTCGCTAGACGTGGAGGAGCTGAAGAACGAGCTCGCGTTGGTGGGTAAACTGAAACACAAGAACCTCGTCAGGCTCGTCGGCGTCTGCATGGAGCAGCAGAGGAGAGGCTGTTCGTCTACGAGTTTGTCCCAAACCGGAGCCTCGACCTGATCCTTTTCGGTACCGCTTGAACCATGCTCATCACCGTACATTTCGACTCTCTTCTTTTTACAGGAAATGCTCCATTTTCTCTGAAAAGCATGAGATTATCACATCGATCGATCAATGATCACTCACTCCTGGCTTTCCTTTACGATCGATGTCATCAGACACTGAGAAACGTGGGCTGCTGGATTTATTGGGGCCAGAGGTACAAGATCATAAAGGGCATCGCTCGGGGCCTGCAGTACCTGCACGAAGACTCTCAGCTCAAAGTTGTCCACCGTGATCTCAAGGCCAGCAACATCCTGCTGGACGCAAAGATGAGACCCAAGATTTATGACTGAGGATTTTCGAGCGCGATTAGACCCAGGCCGTCACCAACCGCGTCGTCGGCGCCTAGTCAGCAGTCAGTACTCAGTAGAGCTTCAAAATTCCCCGTGAGCCGCCCCACCCCCCCACCCCATGTTCGTTGTTCATAATTCTTTTTGCTCGATTTCATGTTTCAGTGGGTACATGGCGCCAGAGTATGTGATGCGGGGTAACTACTCTGTCAAGTCGGACGCGCTCAGCTTCGGCGTCATGGTGCTGGAGATCGTCAACTACTCCAGCAACTCACAGCAGAGTGAAGATCTTCTGACCATGGTGAGCAGCAGCCTGCAGTGATATCACACAATCGCCAATGTTACCAGAAATGACTACAAGCTGCCGTGCAGGTATGGGAGCACTGGGAGGCCGGCAAGGTGGCGCAGCTGGTGGACCCGTCACTGGGCGGCCGTTTCCCTGAGGGCGACGCGCTGAGATGCGTCCACATCGGGCTGCTGTGCGTCCAGGGAGACCCCGCGGCCCGGCCGCTCATGTCGTCCGTCGTAATGATGCTCGGCAGCGACACCTTCAGTCTCCAGTCGCCATCCAAGCCAGGGTTCTTCGCCAGGACCAACAACGCGCCAACACAGCCGCATCGACGGTGTCAGTGAAGGGCTAGCCAACCATGGGAGTCCAGAAAGATTTTCAGTGAGAGGGATATCCGCAACGTATCCCTATAGGATCACTGGGTTTAATTTAAAATTTTCACTGTAGAGGCTTTTACCCCTCCAAATTCCTAAATAAAAAATGAGGCAATGCACAACGATTATGAAAAGTATCTAAAGAAACTCCCAGGATTTGCATATAAATTACCCATATCCATAATTATTTAAAATAATCTAAAGTGACCTCAATATTTTGCACATAAATTACCTATCATTATGAACAAAATCCCAAATTACCTATATATTTGCTTTCGTGTTATCCATTTCCATTGTTGTTAGTATAGAAAAATATCTACGAACAACATGTGTATGCACGAAGCCGTGATCATATATATCTATTTCCTCAAACACGTAGCTCAAGTTAAGATTTTAACTAAACACATGTCAAATACACATGTGAATGTGATGCAAAGGAGAGAACTATATATATAAATATGGATTGAAAAGCATATAGAGTAAATAGTAACTAAAGTTTATTGCCACCAGACAAAAATAAGGATGTATCAATCAGTGTGAATATTGAGTTGTAATATGAGCAAATTAGATAGCGCAAATATAAGAAATTTTGATGAGCTTGCTTCGAATTTCGAGATGATGCTGCATGCTGCATTTTTTTTTTTTGTTAACCCCAAGGGCACGTTTGGTACGGCATTTTTGTTGACTCTTTAGTAAGGCTTTCTTTTTGTTAACTCTTTACTATAGGGCAGGGGAAGGCCGAGGCCAGTGAGGAAAAAACAAGCGTCGCGGCTTATCAGCCATGATATAGTATTTTTCTCTCACAACAAAATAGCCATGGCCAGTTTATCAGCCGCAAAAACCATCAGCCGAACAGTATTATAGAATAAAGATAAAACAAGCTTCTTATTAAAGTCTAGTTACAGTGTACGATAAAGCCGGAGCCAAAGCTAGCAGGAGATCCACCTCACCTCAGGAAAATAGGAGCCATGATTCATGAGTATCCGCAAAGCAAAGCAAGCAAATGCATCTGTTATTCTGATGTGCAGATGCCTAGCTTTACACTTTTCTACTACATTTCTACTAGTGGCCTAGTGCAATCGAAGGTGAAACTGAACTTTTCTTGAAAGTTACAGTATTGAGCATCAGATTGCAGTGTATCCTTCAGACTTGGATGTTGTTTCTTGAATCCAAGCGTTCGACGGCAGGACGCGGTTTCCAATCTCTGAAGGTAAACACAGAACCAAAAAAACAGTGAGATTACAGTTCACTGGATGTCTGGATCCCCCACGTGGGACATGTTTCAGACTTTCAGAAGTGAGGAACAACTGGAGGCACGGCGAGAAAATAATAATGCGAGCAAAGAAACAAGCGTGGGCTCACTTGGTGCGTGGTAGACGACGGAGGCGGCGCCGGCGAAGTCGCACGTCCCGTCGGCACGGGCGTTGCGCTGGTAGTAGCTGTTGAACGCGTACGAGGCGTGGGCTACCACGGTGTCGGGCTCGAAGCACGATCCGCCGGGCTGGATGGCGCTGCAGTCCGCGCCGTTGGCACACGCCTAGTTCAGCGCTTCCAGCAGCCGCGCGTCCCCGACGGCCGCGTTCGCCACGCACCAGCTCGCCAGCGCGCCGCCCCGGAAGTCGAACTCGTACACCTTCGTCTGGTTCGGGTAGAACAGGCCGAAGTGCTGCTCGATGTCGTCCGCTCCGTCGCCCTTCTGGTTCTGTCGCCGGACACCACGCGGTTGATGAGGTAGTTGTTGTACGCTTGCGCGTTGGCTACCGAAGCCGCGTCGTCCCCAGCCCGCTCCAGACGCCTGACGCCGCGTTGCAGTTGGCCGGCGGACGGCCACGCCGTGGATCCGCGTGGCGGGGTAGTACGCCGCCACGTTTCTCCGCACCCACCGTCGCGCGCTCGACGGGTCCGCGGCCGCGGCGACGAGGTTGTCGTTGGGTAGCATTACCATCACCGTGATTCCGGTGTTGGCCAGGGCCTTGAGCGCCTTGGAGTTGGCGTCGTAAAACCTCACCGAGGTGATGCCGCTCTTCTGCAGCAGCTTTACCACCGAAGCCGTGTCCGGCTGGTCATTCCCCAACCGGCCATAGCAAACGCCCACCACGCCGGCATCTACATTGTATTGTACACAATGAACAACAGTGTGCACTAGAGATTGGACCTGGAAAATAAACAGCAGTCTGAGCCGAACGTGGTTACCTGCAGGGGAGAAGAGGAGCAGAACCAATGCAGTGCCGAGGAGGACGACGAAGAGGCGAGCCAGGGCCATGCTCCTCAGTAGTCAGTAGTGGCGAGGAGACGACTGGGCGAATGCTGAGCAACCAAATGTGCGTGGAATTTAAATAACCGGGTCCTCTTCGCCAGTGTAATGGAATGTGGTCAAACTCAACCATCTAGGAGTACTGTACTGTTTATCGGAAAAACTAGCCACGTGCTCTGCATGTAAAAAACACAAGCATTAAAAAATCAAGGATAAGTGTTGAGATCATAGTGTGTAACTAACCAAAATTGATTGTCTTCCTTATTTACTCATAGTCTCATACTCTAACACAATATTGGTACTCTCTCCGTCCCTAATTAAATTAATTTCTAAAATTATCTTAAATCATGTTTTAATATTTAATCAAATTTATAAAAATATAAATATTTATTATACCAATGGCCATATTGTACGAGTATATTTATGGTGTATCTAATTATATTAATTTGGTTTTATAAGTATTTGTGCTCTTTTTTATAAATTCAGCTAAACTAAAAAAAGGTTTGACTTAAGACAACTTTGGAGTTAATTTACTATTTTTTTGCACATTATACAAATTTTAGAAAACATCTTTACAGACTGTTGAGTTTCGACATGTCGCTAGAGGTTGATTCCTAGAGACGACTTGAAAGGGCTCGAACAGTGGTCTATACAAATCATTTGTAGTCACCAATAAAAAGTTTGTGTGTAGTAATGCATGTTATTCCGCATCCTCATGGCGTCATGTGCCACTCACACCATTTAGGACAGAAACCCCTGGCGGCAAGACATTGAAAAAGAAAGATCCATTTGACCTTGTCATAGGCCTTTTTAAAATCTAGCTTCAAAATTATGCCAATTTGATTTTTCCTTTTGGTTTCATGAAGAATTTCATTCAAAATCATAACACCACTCATGATGTTTCTTCCTTTCATGAAGCCAGATTGGGTATTGTGTATAAGCTTATCAGCCACCTTTTCCAACCTCAATGTCAAAGTTTTAGTAATGAGCTTATACAAACGGTTCAGCAAACAAATGGGTCTAAATTGTTGAATTTTTATAGCATCACTAACCTTGGGGAGGAGAGTGATAACTCCATAGTTAATCCTGCTAATATCCACTAAACCTTCATGAAAGTCAGAGAACAGTTGTATAATATCACGTTTCACAATATTCCAGCAAGTCTGGAAGAACTCTATTGGAATCTTGTCAGGGCCAGCAGCTTTATTTTTTTTCATTTGAAAACAAAGCATCTTTGATTTCTTGTTCAGAGAAAGTCTACGCAATAACTCATTATCCAGATTAGAAACTTTCTCTAACTCATTCCAAAGTGATTGGTCAATATGAATGTTATGATCCTCCTCAGGCCCAAACAGTTTTGTGTAATATTCAGTAGCATGCCTCAAGAGGTTTTCGTCCCCTTCAATAACATCACCTTCATTTTCTAAAGATAAGACAGTGTTTTTCCGTTTCCTTCCATTAACAATTTTATGAAAGTAACTTGTATTATTATCTCCTTTTAGTAACTAAGTTTCATGACACCTATTGAGCCAATAAGCTTCTTCTTGATCTAACAGTTTCAGGTTTTCACTCAGCAGCCATACTTTTCTTACCATTTGCTCAGCATCAAGCCCATCCACTTCTTCAGTGAATTCAAGCTGAGCTAATTCTTCACTCACAATACCTCTTTTCTTCCTTAATTCACCTTGCAAGTTAAAACCCCAACCCTTAAAGTATTGCTTGAACATCTTTAATTTTTGCTGTATTTTGTCAAGCACTGTTTTTGCTCTACAAGTGGTAAGTGTATATTGGAGAAATTTCTAATATTCACACTCAATAGTCAATTCGTGAGGCTTTCAAAATTTAATTTCTTGATCCACGTGTCAATGACTCAGATTAACTCTACATATCATTAATCTTAAAAGGCTTGCAAATTATCATGTCAATTATCAAAATTCTCTATATACATTTTGTGACCCCTGCTGACCGACCCAACATATCGACAAGCAAACAGAGTTAGGACTACTCGCTCCGTAAAAACATAATGCTTATATATCTTTATTAAAGATGCTTATATCGATGTCATCAGACACTGAGAAACGTGGGCTGCTGGATTGGGGTCAGAGGTACAAGATCATAAAGGGCATCGCTCGGTGCCTGCAGTACCTGCACGGCTGCACCAAGACTCTCAGCTCAAAGTTGTCCACCGTGATCTGAAATGCTCTGCGTTGCGGCCTGGCCTCAATTGAAGAGTGACATCGGGCTCTCAAACATTTCGCTAATGCTCCACCATTGAGAGCCTACATTTAGCGCAATGGTGGCCTCAATTGAAGTGAACACTCGAACGTTTTTTGAGATCCAAATGCTCCACCATTGCGCTAATGCTGCTCAAGTATGTGACTTGATTAAACATCTAAAAGTAATCTTTGCATGACCCGACACCGAAGTGACAGCACCTGTGCTTCGCACCGACTTGTTGCCTCTAGGCTCTAGGCAGTCGTGACTCGTGAAGGAACAAGGAAGGAAGCCGGAAGAGGAGAAACCGGGAAGACAGGAACTATCACATGGCCATGGACACATGGCAATGGCATGGCTTCGAGACAGGTCGTCACGGGTAACCCTTGTCGTGTGCTATATGTCACATATGATAGTTGCTCCCAATTTCCCAGCCCAAGGAAAGCAGTTTTATAACCTCCAGCCTATTGACTTCTTTGACTGACGACAATAAAGATTTAAAACGTGACACGTGTGATTTATATAGAAGTTAAACCGAAGGGTACGTTTGGTAGAATTTTTTTTTATCTGTCTAGGTGACATTCAGTTGTTTTGGTCTTTCCCGTCAACTGAATTTTTCACATACATTTATACCGTGTTCTAACTATATTTATATAGTCTTATTACTATATTTACAATGATTTCTTCAGTGTAATTTATTGGACAGAGTGATGTAAGTTAGGAATAACACAAATATATGTCAAATTTTTCAAAAAAAATATAAATTATTTCTATAGATTCCAGACATCAAAGAAATATATGTCAAATTCTTCACAAATTTTAAAAAAAAATACAAAATCTTCACAAAAATTTGAAATGTCGTGCCACGCTGCCGCCACTGACGCCGACACCGGGGAAGGCGTAGCGTCCGGCCTCGGCTGGTACTGCGAGATATGGTACTGCCACATCTGCTGTTGCTGCTGCGGCTGCGTCGGCATGAGTTGCTGCAGCTGCTTTATCATCATCGCCGATGAGGTCACGGCGGGGAGGCCGACACGCGGGCCGTACCCCGGGCTGCACACGTGCTGTGGCATCTGCGAGTCCACCCAAAGACAAGACAAAACTCGAAGGGCGGGGGCGGCATGACACAGGCGGTAGATCGGGCGGCAGCTCTCAGGCCGGAGTCAGATCCAACGCTGGAAAATTCGGTTGACAGTAGCAAATAAATCATACGGTTGACGTATAGCGTTTCCGTTTTTTTTGGCGTTCTCTTTGCTGTAGTGCAAAACGATGGGGAAAAAAAGCTTCACAAGCGTCTAGTTCATTTTGTGAATAAGAGATAAAACCAGCTTCTTATTAAAGTCTAGCTACAGTGTACGATAACGCCAGATCTGTCGGTGCGGGACCCACAGGATATCCCGCAAGGAAGAGAGAAGATCTAGTCTAACTAGGATTCTCCCCATGTAATCTTAGTAGTAGTATTATTCTGTAATCCTACTAGGAACTCTCATTGTAAACTGATTAGGATTCTGACCTCCTAACTATATAAAGGAGGGCAGGTTCCTAAAGATCACGACTTCTACAACACAACAACACACAATCAATCCAACGCAAAGGCTAACGCCAACTGGATGTAGGGCTATTACTCGACTACAGTCGAGGGCCTGAACCAGGATAAATCGACTGTCCCTTGCATTCACCGTCGAGTTCCGCATAAACCGAAGCCCAAACATACTGTCTCGGGTAACCCCGTGGCAGGCTATCGGTGGTAAAACATCGACAGCTGGCGTGCCAGGTAGGGGCTTTCGGCGAATTTGCATCCGAGAGCTCAATGGACCTCGACAGCATGATCTTCTCGACGGGATCAACTTTCATCTTCGGCTCATGGATCTGCGAGGCGGACGGCAATGGCAATCTCCAAAGCCGTCTTCTTGAAGATTCGAATCACCATAAAGACTATTCTATTTCGGCGACTACGACAGATGAAATCTCTGGAAGATTCACGCAGCTCATGATGTCCGATTCAACTCAGGTTTTGTGGCTTTGCGCATCCGACTCGAACTCAGGCTCCGCATCCGAGATAGAGTCTTATCCGAATTCTTTCGGGAAACTGAGTTCTTTTCCGGTGGGGCTTAAGAACGCGGCCCTGACCTATCAAGAATACAACTCGGAGTACACGCAGAATCTTTTCAAGAAGTCGGATCCTTTTCCGCTCGGATTCCACAATATGGCAACATCTTATCAGACACAGCCCAGAGGATTCCTCGATCCGGTGCTTAGAATGCCACTAAAGAGAGCTCAGGAAGGTATCGTACTAACTATAACATCTCAAGACTGCATCGTCCACTGGCCGGGCTCTGTTCCTGAGGATAGCAGTACCCGACTGGTCGACACGACGACAACGACAATTCTACCATACCAAGAAGGAGACTCGATCTGCGACCTGGAGGCCTCTACTAAAGTTGACAGTAACTCCAATAGTGTGGAAACTAACGCTAATAACAGAACAGTTCACGCACGGGAAGTACTCATGGTTCGCCGTCCTCGATCACCATTGGTCCCTCCAGAAGCGCCCGATGTCAGGTCATCGGATGAATCAGAATCCAACATATCACCCTTTGCCCAGGGCTATGATGGTGAGACCGAGAATCAAAAACAAGCTAGAGAAAGAAAAAACAAGTTGAAGCAAGGACGCCAACACCGTGCTAGGCAGCGCAAGAAAGCTTGGATCAGATATGAGTCAGAGTTGGCCGAGTACGACAGAAGAAAATCACAACGAGAAGTCAAAGAAAGACGCACGGCAAGTACGCCCTACG